ATATGTATGTGTGTATATATGTATGTATGTATGTATGTATGTATATGTATGTATGTGTATGTGTATGTATGTATGTATGTGTATGTATGTATGTATGTATGTATGTGTATGTATGTATGTATGTATATATGTGTATGTATGTATGTATGTATGTATGTATGTATGTATGTATGTGTATATATGTATGTATGTATGTATGTATGTATGTATGTATGTATGTATGTATGTGTATGTATGTGTATGTATGTGTGTGTGTACCACTAAGCTGTCCTCGAGTAGCTTACCCTTGACAACCACTCAGCGTTACACTCAAGCTTTCTTCTGTTTCCCACGTTGAGGCAAATCCAGGGGGGGAGAGGAGGAAGGAGGAAGAAACTCCTCCTCTCCTCCTCTCCCTTCCTCCTCATCTTCCTCCTCCTCCTCCTATCACCCCACTGAGGGCCCTGGCCTCCTTCCTTTCACCCCCGCCTTTACCTCCCCCCTCCCTCCTTTCCCTCCATTGTAAGAAGGAGGGATCCAGAGATAATAATGGCAATAAAGGAAGAAATAGAGACACTGGTGGAGAATTAGCCCCCCTCACCCCTCCCTCCTCCCCTCCTGAAGTTTTCCCTGGTCGGTTGGTAGGAGGAGGAGGAGGAAGAATGAGAGATGGATAAAATAGGAAGTAAATAATAATGATGAGAACTTCTTCTTCCTCCTCCTTCTCTAACTTTTCCCCTCTCCCCCCCTCCTCCTCCTCCTCCCCCAGTCAGAGTTCTCACGATGTGTTCCACTGATTCGCTAATCCTCCGTCTCTAGCCTCTCTACTGATTGGCTATTCTTCTCTTCTCTTCTCTCCTCCTCCTCCTCTTCCTCCTCTTCTTCTACCTCCTCCTCCCCTCCCCCTCCCCTCCTTCCCCCCCCCGTTACGATTTAGTCAACAGTTCGCTTAATTATTTTCTGATTGGTCAACATCCGGCTGGTTATTACTGGCTTCTCTCTCATTGGTCAAAGCATTAAACGGTTTATGTAAAAAGCTGCCCCAGTTACATTGGCGAACAACAGAAGTATACAGGGGCAACAACGCGGAAGCAGCAGGGCGATTAACAGAAGGCGGAACACACCAACTTGATCGCCAGCCTCCTGTTGATCACTATCTTCAAACAGAGCCGTTGAAGTCGCCAGTTACTCGCCCTCGCCCCTTACCGTTGGCGCTCTCTCATCCGCTCCGTTTATCGCCCTGGCATCAACGGCTCTTAAGGTTAGCTTAGGTTGAGGGGCCCATTAATACAAAGGGCCCATTAGGACAAGGGAACTATTAGAACAGGGCCCATTACGACAGGGGCCATTAGAAAAGGGCCCATTACGACTGGGCCCGTACGACATGGGCCCATTACGACCAGGGCCCATTAAGAAGGGCCATTAAGAAGGGGCCCATTAATAAGGGGCCATTAGGACAAAGGGGCATTAAGACATCTAACAGGCTCCTGGTGCCCGATAATGAAATTCCAAGCAGGTGAATCCTGGGTATTGTGTGTGTGTGTGTGTGTCAGGTGTGTGTGTGTGTGTGGGTGTGTGTGTATGTAAGCAGCGTTCGTGTAATTGTGTATAAATTTGTGTAGAATGTGTGTACGTATGTGAGTATGTAAATGTGTGTAAATTTGTGTAAAGTAATCCTAAGATCTCGCACAGACCTTCACCGCCTGACGATGTGTAAAGAATGGTGTGTAAGCAAATGAGAGAGGTGTTAGTTCTCACTCTTCTATACCAAACCTCAAACTTCTGCTCTCCCCCACCCTCCCCACCCCTCTCCCCCCACCCCTCTCACCCCACCCCTGTCCACCACACGCCCTAAAAGGTTCCTCCTGGATCTATCTGTGGACAGTAGCATAGATGTCTCCCCACCTCCTACCATCCCCCCTCTCTCCTCCCTCTTCCCTCCCCCTCTCCTCCCCTCTTCCCTCCCCCCTCTCCTCCCCTCTTCCCCCTCTCCACCCCCTCCCCGCACCCCATCCCCTCTTCCCCTCCCCTCTCCTCCCCTCTTCCCTCCCCTCTCCTCCCCTCTTCCCCTCTCCCCTCCTCTCCTCTCCCCTTCCTCCTCACCCCTCCCTCTCCTCCCTATCCTGGTCAGCTGAAGATGGGGGGGATAAGGGGAGGGGAGGGGGGATAAGGAGGAAAGGGGAAAGGGGAAAGGAGAAGGGATAAGAAGAAGGGGAAGGAGAGAGGGAGGAAGGAGGAGAGAGGGAAGGAAAGGGGGATAAGGAAGAAGGGGGAGGGGGAGGGGGGAAACAAGTAAAAAATAATAAAACACCTCCATATGGCAACACCGTATATCTAAGTGAGTTACCAATTACATATTTTTTTATCTATTAATTCTCTATTTAATTTTGATCAATAACCATCTACAAAAATAGGATAGATTTTGACATAGATTCTAATTTTATATAAGTAATTAGAGGTTAATTAGATTGTTATATAGGGAGATAAAAGTGATAATTAATTTGTGAATAGGTATTGTCGGGAAGCAAGGTCAGGTAAGGTTGCCATATGTCGCCACTTACTTTATTGAGAGAGAGAGAGAGAGAGAGAGAGAGAGAGAGAGAGACTATTTGAGACGACTTAAACACGTATGGGTCAACTCAGGTCACACAGTAGGGGTCGTGTTGTGACCCTGTTTGACCTGTCCACACACACACACACACACACACACACACACAAAGTTCCTCATAGCGTCAGTTTTGTGAGTGAGTCAGGTGAGTCAGGCGAGTCGGTCAGATATGTTTTAGCATTTTCACTTACGTCTGAGACACACGGTGTTTAGTAATGGTCGCTGTAACGGGGTGGTGTTCACTGTAACGGGGTGGTGGTCGCTGTAACGGGGTGGTGGCCACTGTAACGGGGTGGTGGGCACTGTAACGGGGTGGTGTTCACTTCTGGGTAACAGTGCGTGTGGTGGTCACTGTAACGGGTGGTGGTCGCTGCCAACGGGGTGGTGGCCACTGTGATGGGTGGTGGCCACTGTAACGCAGTGGTGGCCACCGTAACAGAGTGGTCGCTGTAATGGTGGGGGTGGTCACTGTAACAGTGCGTGGTATCACTGCAACAGTGTGGTGGACACTACAACGGGTGGTGGCCACTGTAACGGGTGGTGGGCCACTGTAACGCAGTGGTGGCCACTGTAACAGAGTGGTCGCTGTAACAGGGTGGTCACTGTAACAGTGTGGTGGTCACCGTAACAGTGTGGTAGTCACTGTAACGGGTGGTGGTGGTCACTGTAACAGGGTGGTACCACCGTAACAGAGTGGTCGCTGTAACATGGTGGTCACCGGGTAACAGTGTGGTGGTCATCACTGTAACGGGTGGTCACTGTAACGTGGTGATGGTCACTGTAACAGTGTGATGGTCACTGTAACAGTGTGATGGTCACTGTAACAGTGTGATGGTCACTGTAACAGTGTGATGGTCACTGTAACAGTGTGGTGGTCACTGTAACAGTGTGATGGTCACTGTAACAGTGTGATGGTCACTGTAACAGTGTGATGGTCACTGTAACAGTGTGGTGGTCACTGTAACAGTGTGATGGTCACTGTAACAGTGTGATGGTCACTGTAACAGTGTGGTGGTCACTGTAACAGTGTGGTGGTCACTGTAACAGTGTGATGGTCACTGTAACAGTGTGATGGTCACTGTAACAGTGTGATGGTCACTGTAACAGTGTGATGGTCACTGTAACAGTGTGATGGTCACTGTAACAGTGTGGTGGTCACTGTAACAGTGTGGTGGTCACTGTAACAGTGTGATGGTCACTGTAACAGTGTGATGGTCACTGTAACAGTGGCGGTCATCACTGTACCAGTGTGGATGGTCATCACTGTAACGGTGGTGGTCACTGCAAAATATGTGGTGGTCATCACTGTAACAGTGGTGGTCATCACTGTAACAGTGGGATGGTCACTGTAACAGTGTGGTGGTCATCATCCATCATCATGGTCACTGTAACAGTGTGGTGGTCACTGTAACAGTGTGATGGTCACTGTAACAGTGTGATGGTCACTGTAACAGTGTGATGGTCACTGTAACAGTGTGGTGGTCACTGTAACAGTGTGATGGTCACTGTAACAGTGTGATGGTCACTGTAACAGTGTGGTGGTCACTGTAACAGTGTGGTGGTCACTGTAACAGTGTGATGGTCACTGTAACAGTGTGATGGTCACTGTAACGGGGTGGTGGTCACTGTAACAGTGTGATGGTCACTGTAACAGTGTGGTGGTCACTGTAACAGTGTGATGGTCACTGTAACAGTGTGGTGGTCACTGTAACAGTGTGATGGTCACTGTAACAGTGTGATGGTCACTGTAACAGTGTGATGGTCACTGTAACAGGGTGGTGGTCACTGTAACAGTGTGGTCGCTATAGTTGGTCTGTAATTTCAAAAAACAGAATTTAATTTCGTTTGTAAGGAAATACGTGTGTGTGTGTGTGTGTGTGTGTGTGTGTGTGTGTGTGTGTGTAGGACTATGTGTGTGTAGGACTGTATGTATGTATGTATGTATGTATGTATGTATGTCTACCTCACAAACTGCTATCAACAAACACCTGTCCATAATCCACCAAATAACAGACAGACAGACAGACACCAACACCTCCACACACACCTGAAGATATTTTAATTAGTGACTCCATCTTCCCCCGCCGCTGGTCTGTACCTGAGCTGCCCAACACTACCTCCATTTCCCCCGTTCCTCTTCTGTTTGTCTCAGTGTTGGGGCATAAGCGTTGGGTATATTTTCAAACTAATTTCTTGTGATTGTGAGTTATTGCGGTGATTTATGGGGTTTATTTATGTGATTTTAGATATAGAGATTGATTTATAATATTGTGGTTTAGTTGTTATTGATCGGAATATAGGAATAAAGATCGGAAGAGTAAAAATCATAGAGCATGAAGTGTGTGGCGGTCTCCATTGCCTGCGGAGGTAAGAAGTGAACTAGAGGTCTTGGCTGGAAACAAGTTTTAGGGGGGTGAACCTCAGAGACGAGAAGTAACCCGTCGAGTGAGGACGTGTACGTGTGTCTGTCTGTATTTGTGTCGACCCATAGCGTAACTAATATGTTTAATCTATGTGGCGTACCTCAAGGAAACACTAAGGTCCGTTACTGTTTAGGAAAATAAGAAAGTTAAGTGTTTAATAATGGCAAGTCCCTCAAAGTGGCTTCATAAGTGCGAAATATCGGGCTATGTGTCTTAATTAAGTGTCTAAGGTCATTTAAGTGAGAAAGATTGGGAAATATTACTTAGTTATTGTGATAAGTGCCAATTGGTCGTTAAGCGTGGATTAACTACCCTACAACTGCTCGTTAAGGAAGGGTAAGTTGATAAGACCTTATTTTAAAAACAACTTTTGTCTATTTAATCACGATATAAAATGATATAAAATACCTCTCCTAGTAGCTATTATAAAATACCTCTCCTAGTAGCTATTATAAAATACCTCTCCTAGTAGCTATTATAACTAATACCTCAAGGAAAAAAAATAGCCTTTGTTGAAATAGATTATATAGCATTCCTATACTCTTGAAATTAATTAATAAATATATAATAATTATATATATGGGAACCTTATCTACGTCTCAATACACAACAAATTATTATATACACATTCTATGATAATTTATATACATGTATATTATTTAAACTATATAAGTCTTACTGTTATAGCGATTATATAATTACCTCAGTAGTTGTGATGATAAATGAAAAAAACACGACAAAAATAATCGGTTTTAATTCTGTTATTATTGTGGATTTCCGTGATGGTTTTAACTGTGTGGATATCTAGCTAGTCTATCCATCTATCTATCCACCTATCTATCCATCTATGCTAGTGGTAGAGGATAGATTATAGCCTCAAGTTTATCCATCCATCTATCTATCCATCCATCTGGTAGAGGATAGATTAAGGCGTCTCTGCGTGGTTAAGAGTCCACTGAGACGTCGTTGGGTTGGGTGGAGTCCCCAAGGGTGGCTGGCAATTGCTGGGTCCTCTTGCGTTTTAACCCAGTTGTTTAAAAGGTTATGAGAACGGCGGCGTGTGGAGGGTTGTGATATGAGGGGTGGAAGAAGGGTTGTGTTATCAGGGGGTGTAAGAAGGGTTGTGTTATCAGGGGTGTAAGAAGGGTTGTGTTATCAGGGGGTGTAAGAAAGATTTGTGTTATCAGGGTGTAAGAAGGGTTGTGTTATCGGAGTTAGAGGGTTTGGCATGACATCAGGGGTGTAGAAGGGTTGTGATATCAGGGGTGTAGAAAGTTTGTGGTATCAGAGGTGTAAGAAGGGTTGTGTTATCAAGGGGGTGTAGAAGGGTGTGTTATCAGGGGAGTTAAGAAGGGTTGTGTTATCCAGGGGTGTAAAGGGGTTGTGTGTTATCAGGGGCTGTAAGAAGGGTTGTGACATCAGGGGGTGTAAGAAGGGTTGTGTTATCAGGGGGTGTAAGAAGGGTTGTGTTATCAGGGGGTGTAAGAAGGGTTGTGTTATCAGGGGGTTGTAATATCAGGGGTTGTAACTGTTAAGAACATAAGAATGGAGGACACTGCAGCGGGCCATACTGGACAGTCCCATTTACACCCAACCCCTATCGCTCATATATCCACCCACTCTGCTGTTTTTTCTCGTTCGTTAATTACAAACACCGTATATAAACAGATGTTGTTTATTGTATATTTGTAAACGAGGCTGGCTGTTTACATTCATGTGCGTGTTATTTGTAAACTAACTCCTGTGTAAACAATATAGGTTGTTTGCTGATAAGAAGATCATAAGGAGTCTGCAATAGGCCGGTTGGTCTGTGCATGGCAGCTCCTGTCGAGAGTTACTACCACTCTCTATCATCCATGAATCTATCCAGCCTCCTTTTTTAACTTTCCAGCGTTCCAGCACTTACTACAAAGTTGCTAAGCTTGTTCCACTCGGCCACCACCCTATCCAGCCTCCTATTAAGACTTTCCAGCGTTCCAGCACTTACTACAAAGATGCTAAGCTTGTTCCACTCGTCCACCACCCTATCTAGCCTCCTATTAAGACTTTCCAGCGTTCCAGCACTTACTACAAAGTTGCTAAGCTTGTTTCACTCGTCCACCTATTTGTGAACCAGTTCCTTCCTATCTCCCTCCTAAACCTAAACTTATCCAACTTAAATCCGTTGCTCCGAGTCCTATCCTGCTCGGATATTAGAACTTTATCTATATCCCTTTATTGATTCCTTTCACCCACTTAAATACTTCTATATCTCCCCGCATCTCCCCCTGCCTCCACCTCTTCGTCTTTCTAGGAATGCAAGTTTCTTTTAATGGAGGTAGAGACGTGTTTGAGAGCTGAGTAAACAAGGAGGTGTGTTTGTTTGAGAGCTGGTAAACAAGAGTGTGTTTGTTTGAGAGCTGGTAAACAAGGGAGTGTGTTTGTTTGAGAGCTGGTAAACAAGGGAGTTTGTTTGTTTGAGAGCTGGTAAACAAGGGAGTGTGTTTGTTTGAGAGCTGGTAAACAAGGAGGTGTGTTTGTTTGAGAGCTGGTAAACAAGGAGGTGTGTTTGTTTGAGAGCTGGTAAACAAGGAGTGTGTTTGTTTGAGAGCTGGTAAACAGGAGGTGTGTTTGTTTGAGAGCTGGTAAACAAGGAGGTGTGTTTGTATGAGAGCTGGTAAACAAGGGGTGTGTTTGTTTGAGAGCCGGTAAACAAGGGGTGTGTTTGTTTGAGAGCTGGTAAACAAGAGTGTTTTGTTTGAGAGCTGGTAAACAAGAGTGTGTTTGTTTGAGATGGTAAACAAGGGAGTGTGTTTGTTTGAGAGCTGGTAAACAGAGGTGTGTTTGTATGAGAGCTGGTAAACAAAGTGTGTTTGTTTGAGCGGTAAACAAGGGAGTGTGTTTGTTTGAGAGCTGGTAAACAAGGGAGTGTGTTTGTTTGAGAGCTGGTAAACAAGGAGTTTGTTTGTTTGAGATGGTAAACAAGGGTGTGTTTGTTTGAGAGATGGTAAACAAAGTGTGTTTGTATGAGAGCTGGTAAACAAGGATGTGTTTTGTTTGAGAGCTGGTAAACAAGGAGGTGTGTTTGTTTGAGAATGGTAAACAAGAGGTGTGTTTGTATGAGAGCTGGTAAACAATGGAGTGTGTTTGTTTGAGAGCTGGTAAGCAAGGGTGTGTTTGTATGAGAGCTGGTAAACAATGGGTGTGTTTGTATGAGAGCTGGTAAACAAAGTGTGTTTGTTTGAGAGCTGGTAGCAAGGGAGTGTGTTTGTATGAGAGCTGGTAAACAGGGAGTGTGTTTGTGAGAGCTGGTAAAAAGGGAGTGTGTTTGTATGAGAGCTGGTAAACAAGGAGGTGTGTTTGTATGAGAGCTGGTAAACAAGGGAGTGTGTTTTGTTTGAGAGCTGGTAAACAAGGGGAGTGTGTTTGTATGAGAGCTGGTAAACAATGGGTGTGTTTGTATGAGAGCTGGTAAACAAGGGAGTGTGTTTGTATGAGGCTGGTAAACAATGGAGTGTGTTTGTTTGAGAGCTGGTAAACAAGGGGTGTGTTTGTATGAGAGCTGGTAAACAGGGAGTGTGTTTGTATGAGAGCTGGTAACAAGGGGTGTGTTTGTATGGAGAGCTGGTAAACAAGGAGTGTGTTTTGTTTGAGAGCTGGTAAACAAGGGGGTGTGTTTGTGAGCTGGTAAACAAGGGAGTGTGTTTGTATGAGAGCTGGTAAACAAGGGAGTGTGTTTGTTTGAGAGCTGGTAAACAAGAGTGTGTTTGTTTGAGAGCTGGTAAACAAGGGTGTGTTTGTAGAGCTGTTAAACAAGGGGTGTGTTTGTATGAGATGGTAAACAAGGTGTGTTTGTTTGAGCTGGTAAACAAGGGGGTGTGTTTGTGAGAGCTGGTAAACAAGGGGTGTGTTTGTATGAGAGCTGGTAAACAAGGGGGTGTGTTTGTATGAGATGGTAAACAAGGAGGTGTGTTTGTTTGAGCTGGTAAACAAGGGGTGTGTTTGTATGAGAGATGGTAAACAAGGGAGTGTGTTTGTATGAGAGTTGGTAAACAAGGGGTGTGTTTGTATGAGAGCTGGTAAACAAGGGAGTGTGTTTGTGAGAGCTGGTAAACAAAGTGTTTGTATGAGCTGGTAAACAGGAGTGTGTTTGTATGAGAGCTGGTAAACAAGGTGTGTTTGTATGAGAGCTGGTAAACAAGGTGTGTTTGTATGAGCTGGTAAACAAGAGTGTGTTTGTTTGAGAGCTGGTAAACAAGTGTGTTTGTATGGAGAGCTGGTAAACAAGGAGTGTGTTTGTATGAGCTGGTAAACAGAGGTGTGTTTGTATGAGAGCTGGTAAACAAGGGGTGTGTTTGTATGAGGCTGGTAAACAAGGAGGTGTGTTTGTATGAGAGCTGGTAAACAGGAGGTGTGTGTTTGTATGAGAGCTGGTAAACAAGGAGTGTGTTTGTGTAAGAGCTGGTAAACAAGGGAGTGTGTTTGTATGAGAGCTGGTAAACAAGGGGGTGTGTGTATGAGAGCTGGTAAACAAGGGGTGTTTGTGTAGAGCTGGTAAACAAGGAGGTGTGTTGTTTGAGAGCTGGTAAACAATGGAGTGTGTTTGTTTGAGAGATGGTAAACAAGGAGGTGTGTTTGTTTGAGAGCTGGTAAACAAGGAGGGTGTGTTTGTTTGAGAGCTGGTAAACAATGGAGTGTGTTTGTTTGAGAGCTGGTAAACAAGGAGGTGTGTTTGTTTGAGAGCTGGTAAACAAGGAGGTGTGTTTGTTTGAGAGCTGGTAAACAAGGAGGTGTGTTGTTTGAGAGCTGGTAAACAAGGAGGTGTGTTTTGTTTGAGAGCTGGTAAACAAGGGAGTGTTTTGTTTGAGAGCTGGTAAACAAGGGGTGTGTTTGTTTGCTTAGTAGTACGAAGAGGTTAAATTTGTTAGTGTTTTGTTTACAAGCGATCGTTAAACCAGTCGTTGTTTAGTTTACGAATGAGGTGACAAACTGAGCCCTTGTTAGGTTGTTTGTAAGTAGTCGACAAACAAATAGAGGTGTTTGTCCATTGTTGTTTGTCATTAGTAATTGTTTGAGTGTTTACGCTGTTTGCTAACGACCCTGGCTATAGATTTGGTTGGGTTAGGTTAGGTTAAGTTGGGTTGGGTTAGGTTAGGTTAAGTTGGGTTGGGTTGGGTTAGGTTAGTTGGGTTGGGTTTGGTTAGGACTGTAATTACTGCTCGATCACATGAAGATTAAGTAACCACTGGCTTATCAATCACTGACCCTTGACCTCTCTCCTTATCAATCACTGACCCTATTTTATACTGAAGGCTACAGATAAGGGCTATCAGTTAGGGCCGCCTTTAATCTCCCTC